ACCAGGCTCGAGGCCACGGTCCCCTCCCAGCCCCAGAGCCCCAGCGAGGAGCCTCTGCGGACGCGCGGCAGCTGGCCCCCATCTCCCGAATCCCACTGCCTTTTCCCATTTGCTTTACTGGAGGGGGATCAGCCTTTAAGATTCAGATCCCCCTGATTAGGGCAGGCTTGGGATTAGGCTTTGAATTAGGTCAGGGTATGGGATGCTTCGGCCTCCCGCTTGCTTTCGTCTTTCCCTCCTGCATCTTTCCTGGGGCACGGCTGAACTTGAGCTTCCCCGGCCAACGCGCTGCTCGTGAGCTTGAACCAACGGGCCAGCTGCACACGCGACACGGCCCCCCCCGCCACGGCCCGGCTTCGAGCAGCCCCTGTCCCTCCTGGTTCCTTGCACCCAGCACCCAGCACCCAGCGCAGGACCCTCAGGAAGGTGCAGCTGTCGTGGGCACGGTGCAGCGCCGAGGCACCGCGTCCATCTGAGCCTTTTGGGGGAGAAAGGTCGGAGCTAAGAGCCAGAAAGTCCTTGGGCATCAGCAGCGGTGACGAGCGATTTCCCATGCAGATTAACCCATTTCTCAAGTCAAGAACGGCAGCCGTCCCCTCTGTGACGAGCGGTGTCTTGAGCGGAGCCGAGTCCTTCCAACAAATGAAAAACTATTAGTAAATGGAAGCGTTTTTAATGAAAACTGACCCAATTTTGAATGCCACTTCTCCTCCCACCTCAGGAATAGTCTGTGCCAGAGTTTGAGCGAAATTAGGTCATTGCTGAAGAAAGGTCATGAAAGAACATGAAAAGCTTTTCAATGGGAAACCCCAGTTTTTATGGCTTTTTGTGGAAATCCCCTCGTAAGTAAAGTTATAAATAGAGTGACAAAAAAGTGCAGGGAGCAAATCACCCCTGTGTTTACCCCTTATGCCCAGCTGGGTGCTGTTAAAAAATCCAGCTTGAGCCGACTGCAGATTTCACCCCTTCTGAACTTGCAGTGAGTTCTGGGAAGAAAAAGAAAAGAACCTGGTGAGAACCTGACTTTTTTCCTTGCTACATCTTTGCGTCCTTCAAACCTGGCCATTGCAGCTGTCCTGGTGGGGTGGGGGTTTGGGTGCACGTCCCGAGAGACCCCGGAGCTCGGGGGCGCAGGCAGGGAGGGCTTGGCTGCGCCTCTGCTTCAGCCCCGCGCAGAGGCCGCGCTCCCGTCCCGTGGACTTCACACTTAACACCCGCCTCGCCGAAGCGAAGCCCTCGTAGGGTAAATTCTTGGCTTTCACAATCGCCATCCGACGATCTCATCCCTGCCCGTTCCCCCGGGAAGGGATTGCAGAGGCTGCTCCTTTCTGCAGAAAACCAGTGCGGGTGAGCACCAGGCTGGGAGTCACCGGGAAACATTTGCAAGGAAGTAAATAAAAGTGAAAGTTTGGGGTTAGGTTTGCCCAGGGAAGTTTTTGGAGATATTCCAGCCCCGCCTGGACGCGGTGCTGTGCAGCCTGCTCTGGGTGCCCCTGCTTGGGCAGGGGGTTGGACTGGGGGACCCACAGAGGGCCCTGCCAACCCCGGCCGTGCTGGGATTCTGTGATTCTGTGAACTTCAGAGGATGGTTGAGGGGGGCTCCTGTAGAATTAGGGCCCCCCGATGACGGCTCAAGCACAGACAGGGTGTGTGCCAATGGAGCAGCAGCCTGAGAAACTTCTGCCTTTGGTTTGGGGAGTGAGCCGGGGAGCGAGGGGGCCGGATCCTGCGGCAGAGGCAGCTCAGATACGTGGTTTGACTTGATTTTTGAAGGCTCCTGTGCCTGTGTGCATACACACACAGTTATACATGACTGCAAATGCAAAACTCAGTGCCTGTTTTCCCCTCTTTAACAGAAATTTGGTCTCGACTGCGTCTGGCTTGGGCGGTTGCTCGAGGTGCTGGTGGCAACTTCCCTGCCTGGTCTTGCAGGGCCGGCTCGCCCCTGCCG